CTCCTAAAAAAACAGCAAAATCAATCACGTGAGAAAAGCCACTATAAGCCACCACAAGCCACCACAAACCACCATGCACGGCCATTTAAAAAATGGCTGGTTTACTTAACCCCATGCTATGCTCCACTGCATGTAACCAAAATATTCATAATTTAATAAAAGGAAAAAAAAGAGAAAGAAAAAGAAAAGAAAACAGAAAGAAAAGAAGAAAAAAGAAGAAGAAAAGAGAGAAAAGGGGAAAAAGGGGAAAGAAAGGGAAGAGAGGGAGAGGGAGAGGAGAGGAGAGAAGAAAAAAGAAAGAAAAAGAAGAAAAAGAAAGAAAAGAAAGAAAAAAAAAAAAAAAATAAAAAAAAAAAAAAAGAAAAAAAAAAATAAAAATAAATAAAAATAAAGAAAAAGAAAAAAAAAAAAAAAGAAATAAAAAGAAAATTATAAAGATAGATATTTTATTATTTATGATTTATATTATTTAGTGATTTATTTATTTTTAAAAATTTAATAAATTTAAAAAAATGTAAAAAAAAAAAATAAAAATAAATAAAAATAAAACAATTTTTAAATATTTTAATTTTATTTTAAAAATAATTTTATATATTTATTTTTATTTTATATTAAACTTTAAATAAATATATTAAAAAAATTTATTTTTTTGTTTAAATATTTATGGTTACAATGCAAGTGGAATATATACATGGGGTTAGGTAAACGGGCCATTCTTTTCAAATGGCCGTGCGTGGTGGCGTGTGGTGGCTCGTAGTGGCGTATCTCACGTGAAAATGATTTTGCTGTTTTTTTAGGAGAATTTTACTGTGTGGTTAGAGTTACTCGTGGGAAAGGAAAGAACTGTGAGCTGCTTAAGGATCCCCTAACTTAAATAAATTTACTTTAGAAGCAGCTAAGCAACACTTAGCAACACTTCGTAAAGTAGTATCCCGTAAACTGCCTAAGCCACCTCAACCTTTCGCCCATTTTGTATTTTGCCCATGCAAAGTCCATAACCAGCCCATGCATACGAAGGAATATCTTTTACCATAGCAGCTTAGGTACCGTGTAGATTGCGCCAACGAAGTCCTACGCATTCTAATAACGGAAAATAATTATTAACTGCCTGAATTGTCGCCATCTTTTCTTTTCTCTCTCCCCTCCCCTTTCCTTCATACCCTAGTCTATCGTTTTTTTAATTTCCTTTTCCATAATATGACCCCTTCGTCAACATCATTGTCGCCGCAGTCGTCGTTGTGGACTTGACTTTGATAGAAGCGCCTATATGTATCGGCGTTAAGTATCCTATCACATCTACATAAACCTGTAGACTTATAGGATCGAGGTGCATAATCCTATCAACATTTTATCTTGGCAATACGAATATCTCGATATTCTTGAGCGCGTTTTGCACGAGTCGCAAGATCAAAATGAAGCAACGAGAAGAGGATGTCGAGTCCCAAGCTCAGCTACTTTCTAAGGAGAGTCAGTCACCATCGAGCGAAGAATTTGACTACGACGAACCCGAAAACAGTCACCAAAATCAGTCATCACGCCGTAGACGTCGGATAGAACAGAATCCTTTATGGCGCCGTATCCAGTCGTTCACGTTACCTATCTGGGCGCCTTGTCGCAAATTCAGCCCTAAATACTACGTCTTCGCCATTGTCGTATCCTTACTCATCACGCTGTTCATCTTTAACCCCTATTCCCCGACAATACCTACCCAGCATCAGACAGACGTCGACGTGTCTCCCGGAACCCCAACAAGTACTATCGCATCCTCTACAAAAGCCGCAAAGCCCACCGAGAGTTCAACACCTGCATACAAACCACCAAAACTCGAGGCCAACGACAAATATTGCACCACATGGCCCGTGGGCGAAGATGGCCGATACGAACCCAAGGGAGCTAGCCGAGCCAACAAGATCAAGATAGATAGCATTGCTCCTAAAGGTGGATGGAAAAAACCAGCGGGTATCAAAGTCATCGGTATGGTCTTTTATGGCCGTAAGAGATATGTGGACCTCTTGGATTGTTACCTCCAGCAGAATCTGGCATCGAATGGCGGCTACTTTGACGAGGTGTGGTTTATGGCCCACACCAAGGAAAAAGACGATGTTAGCTGGATAGAAGATCTTGTCCAAAAGACTCCCGGTTATAAGATTGTCGGCAAGGGAAAATGTGAAGGCGAAAAATATAAGTGCATGTGGACTTACGCCGTCGAGGACAAAACTATCTATGTCAAAATAGATGACGATATTGTGAGTAAACCCTTCCATCCAGCTGGATGGTATCAGGAGACTGAGACGAGTTTGTTGACTGACCTAATTATGCAGGTTTATATCCACCCCGACGCCATCCCTCAACTTGTCCATACTCGCATTGCCCTACCTCATCCGTATGCCATCTCGTCAAACCTAGTTAACAGTCCCGTCACGGGAATGGAGCAATATCACTACGGTGCGATCCACCCCTTTCTCCCGGACCCGAGCAGCAAGCCTTCGTTTCATGCTGCGGAGACGTGGCGCGCTTCCGAAAAGAAGAAATATCCTAAAGACCAACTGGTGGACGAATATAAGATCATGGACATGGAACCGTCGTACCGCGGCCACCCTTGGCTCCTTATATCTGACGACCACTATGACCTACTGAAAACACCCATGGGAAAATACGACCAGAACCGTGGTTCCGACCCAATTGCATTCGGTTTGGCGTGGAAGTCGTGGGCTATCGGCGCGCAGCAACAATATTCTCTCTTGTACAATCTTGAGCAGAATAAGATGCAACGCTATTTCTTCGGCCGAAATATCCGATACCCGGAAAGCGCTTTGGGACCCAATGCTTCCGCAGTAGTCTTCCCTAACGGGGACGGCCCCGGTGGTGAGCAGACATATGATACCGGGTACAACCGATACAACTTGAACTTCTGCGCCGTATGGGGTTCCGATATCAGGGATCAACTACCCATTGCCGACGATGACGAGCAAGATATCACTGCGGATATTCCTAGACGCATTGGACGGCCATTCGTAATCGACACCCGCCTCCGTAGTAGGCCATTTTAGCTTCTTTACCCAGAAGGATGGTATCAATAAGAGCGATCTTCTAGATCGATGGCGAGCATTCGCGAACGAAGCGGTCTGCACCGCAAAAAACCAGAAGAAGCCGTGGGATCTGATGTGTCCGGACTTCAAAGCCGAGGGTGGTATGGGACGGTAGTAGAAGTTTCAACGAGGAATCGAAAAAAGGTCAAATCTAGCGGTGGTAATATTTCCTCACCTGATGTTCCATGACATTTTGCGTGGCGTTCCTGGGTTCTTGCATACGAAACGAGACCGGCCTGTTCCATACTGTACTATGAGACGTTTTAAGGGGAGCTGGTCGTCGTAAATGGGAATTGAATTGATGATGCGCTGCATTTGGGAGTTTTATACATACGGGAGGTCTCATGAGAGGACGGGAAGGCGTAGAAATATCGTGAAATCTTCGCATGCATGCGTTCCTCTTGTATATAGATGACTGACTACCTACCTAGGAGATAGGTTAGGTCATCTTGGTCACGCCGCGGATTAAATAAGTAAAATAACATTGTAAGAAATGTGTGTTTTCAGTAGCCCTTTTTTTAAAAATCCCGCTCGGTGAAAAGAAGAGTATATAAAGTATTTAAATGTTGGTGGTACGCGCGTCCCGAGCTGTCGGACCCCATTCCTAAACCTTGTTGCGTTCGCTCGCAGGGGTGGATTTATGTAGGGGGCGTCGGTGGCATGATTGGAGGTTTAAGAAAGGGGAGGTCTAAGCGAGGAGAATTTATAGGTTATGGATTACGAATAGGAAGGTCTTGAGTAATAATTCCCGGCGCCGCGTCCGGGTTTATAAGTTAGGTCCATAGGTTGAGAGACATGATAGATGGAAAATTCGTCATGTAAGGACCCGGCGAACATATGCAAGGATAAAGCAAGTCGAGACGCCTATCGCTGTAGGTAGATAAGAGCGTTTGTTGTGTTCTCTTACAGCAAATAGGCCCTTGATGCGGCTCCGGGGGGGTGGGGTTCGTCGCACAGGATGGGTTGAGGTGCCGGATGGGGGTCCGAGGTTGGGGTGATTTATAGGTAGGTAGGTAGGTTAGGTAAGTAAGTATTTAAATGATAGGTCATGTTGCTTTGCATTTATTTATTTATTTTATGATTTAGGTATGTTTGCTACCAGTAGGGGCATTAGGAGGTAGTTAAATGGAGTGGACGGCGGTACCGGGTATCGCGGCATCTGTGACGAGGTTGAAGTAAAAATGGGTGCTTATGCCCAGCAATGAGGCTCAAAGTTAGGTAAGCATTTTTATACATAACTATAAGTGGTAGTTAGGTAGTAGTTGAGCCAAGAAGTAGAATGGCGAACTATTTATAGATAGATAAAGTCGAAAAAGAAAAATAGGCTTGAGATAAAGACGAAAAAAAGAAAAAGAAAAGTTGGTCAAAATGACAAAATGGTCAGTCATATAGTAGTTGCGAAGTTGCTAAATAGCTCAAACATTATCCCGAGATAGATGCGAATGTATATATATGGTGAAGTATATCCAATAAATAGATGGTAGATGGTAAATTTGAGAGATGATCAGTTGAGCTAAATTGTAGTAGATGGCGGAATAGATTAACAGTGCTTTTGTTGCTACGGTATATGAGGTTTACTTGCTCGTTGGAATTTACATGTATGCTGCGCTGCGTACCTAGGTACCTAACCTTATAAGGCTCGTGCATCGGGTGTTTATTATTTTGCTTGCTCTGTTTGGTACTGCGGCGTGTAGTTATGAAAAATGCTGAAGCTATAAACTAGGTAGAGATTGAAAACAAAGCTTTAATAAGCTGTGTTGCCGGCGGTTGTTTTTAAGAAGGCCTTGAATGTAGATCTCAAATATCTGTACTTTTCAATTTTTTTAATATGTTTTCTATTCTACCTTATACCTTACTCAAAGAGGTCAGCGGTTCTGGTAGGCGTAAGGTAGGGTACATTTGAATGCTAGATTATAAGGTACTTAACGGAATGGGAATAGACATGCATATACCTCGTGGGGCTTGTTTAAAAGACTCAAAGGTTTAGATAAATAGAATCGTATAATTAATACCTACCTAGGTAGCTCATCTGTTATAAATCAGGCGTAAAGATGTAAGCTTTTGCATTATGCAAGAGTGCTACCACTTAAGTATTTAGCAATATGTACGAGTGTTTTCTATAAAACGGATACAATTGTAATATTAATATACCACACCAGTGGTAGACCCAGATAATGATATACCTCTGTTTAAGTTCACGACGTCTCGACCATCTAGCTCATGGCATCAGCCTTTAACTCAAAATTTTTAAATCATATTTCTTGGAAATTAGTCGTTGGATAGATGTGAAGGACAAGCTATGAGTGAGATAGGAGCGCACCCGGACGTACATAAACTTCAGGTTTTTATGTTGCCCACAAGATAACATCCCGTAACCTACCTAGTATTAATTCCTATTGTCATTGTATAGTATCATAACATTAAACAAATACCTAAACTGAAATAGGGGTAACTACCTAGGTAAACAATAGTTGCTTATAAAAAGATTTGAACCCACCTAAGTATTTATATTAGTTCCTTGAAGCAAATGCACTCCTAGGTACTTAAGTACTACATTATGTGAGTCAGGTACTTACCTAAGATATGCTCGGCTTGAATAGCCATGGTTCGTATGAGAGGTTGATAGGCATGGCATATAGATCTTACCAGTCAAATGATATTATAACGGCAACAAACAACACCATACTCTCTATAATTAGTGTAGCTGAACTTGATGTTGACGCCTATAATTTAGATAGTAATGGTTGTATTCAGAGGCTACCTAGGTTAAAAGAGTGGCATGGATCAGCCTGTTCCATCAGCCTTGCGAGGAAGTTGATAGCCATACTGGCTGGTTGTCTCTAACAAAAGAGGTATGATAGAACTATTTGACATCGATGTGCCAAGCCGTAATATCCATTAGTGCAAAGCCTCAAAGCCCGAGATAGTTTACACTTGTTCCGGAATACCATAGCGCAGCTCCGAGTATCGTAACAGGGAGTAGGAACATTCCTGCCTTTCGCACCGTAGCCAATGCTATCGTTAATTTCCTCTTAGTATCACTTGCTCTGTGAGACTTCCGCTCGTTCAAGCGCGGGAAAGGCACATCAGGAACCTCTTTCCCCAGAAAAGCGCATAGCGGCTCCCAACCATCCCCCATACTGTATTCCAATCGTCTCTCGAGGGGGACCATCTCCCTTATTCTCTTGTAATAGGCGTCGTAGGCCACGCGCGCGTTAGCTTCCACACCGGCCCTATCCTTGGCGCCGAAAAAGCCAAAATGGACCTTCTGCATGGTGGGGCCCGATCGTATGCCCATGACATGCTCCAAGAGAAAAACAGAGACTCGTGCTAGAGGAGAAAATAAGGTATCTAGTAGCTCGGACCTGTAGCTAGGCCACCAGGATTCGAAGTCTCGCTGGACGATGACAACTTTTGCGTCTGGGTATGCTTGAATGAGCTGGTCCGCAAACGGCGATGCCATATCAGTCGCTATGTCATACTGGGACCCCCAGAGCTCATCCCAGTCGGATCTTGTCAACGGAGGTCTTGGGCGTGCTCCGGGTACGGTCGGCCAGGTGGCCTCTGCCGCCTTCTCGAGAAGAGGCCAGGGCATGCCGAAGACATCATCCAAGCCGTGGTGGGTTTTGTATCCAAGGATCCTATAAGCTTCGGCTGAGGACCTAGTGGCCATGCGAAAGAGAGCTACGTGAATAACACGCAGACCGTCATGTTGCGAGTTTGGATTTTCGGTTGCCATGACTGGTGTCGGAGAATGTGGCGGCGCTGAAGCGGGAAGGGAAGGGAACTAAACATGTAACTAGCGACAAGCTTGCTTGAAAGTCGTTGCGACTTGGAATTTTGGGCGTAATATTGTCCATTCAAAGAACCTGGGTGTGATAAGGAGAAGAGATAGTACATGGTAGAGTTGCCTCATTATATTGTGAATGTGCTGAAATCTAAGGATGCATCTACCCGCGTCGCTATGGAAACCCCCAGGTAAGTAGCGGCTCTTCAAATGTACCATATACATAGAGGGGTCATCTGAATTTGTATCGCTGTGTATCTTTTTTTTTTTTTTATGTGCACATGTAGTATTAGAGTCTAGGGGTGGGGGGGGTGAAGCGAAGCAAAGTAAGGGAGCACAGGTAGTGTCTTGATATACATAAACGATTAGCGAAAATTAAGCTGGTTACGGAGGTGCAGAGGGAACACATTAAAGAAAACCCAAAATTTGTCATTATACCCACCCCCACGTATAACCATATTTTTTTTAAAATTCGATAAGCGAATATAGTGAGAGAACGGAAAGAAATGCGAGAAAAAGAAACGGGAGAGGGGAAAAGGGAGAGAGAAGGGGAAAGGAGGGAGAGAAAGGGGGGAAAAAGAGAAAGGGGGGGAGAGGAGAGGAGAGGGAGGGGAGGGAGGGGGAAAAAGAAAAGGGAGGAGGGAGAAAAGGAAGAAAGCAGGGGAAGAAAGGAAAAGAAGAGAAGAAGAGAAACGGGGGGAAGGGAGACGGGGAGGAAGGACGGACGGAAGAGGGAGGAAGGAGGGGGAGGGGGGGAGGAAGGGGGGAGAAAAGGGGGGGGAGAGGAGGGAAGAGAAAGAAGAAAGGGGAGGGGAAAGGAAAGGGAAAGGGAAGAAAGGAGGGGAAGAAAGGAAAAGAAGAGAAGAGGAGAAACGGGGGGAAGGGAGACGGGGAGGAAGGGGGGAGAGGAAGGGGGGAAGGGAAAAGAAAAGGGAGGAGGGAGAGGAAAGAAAGGAAAAAAGGAGGAGAAAAAGGAAGAAAGGGGAGGGAGGGAGGGAGGGGAGGAGGGAGGGAGGGGAGGGAGGGAGGGAGGGGAGGAGGGAGGGAGGGAGGGAGGGGAGGGAGGGGAGGGAGGGGAGGGAGGGGAGGGAGGGGAGGGAGGGGAGGGAGGGGAGGGAGGGAGGGAGGGGAGGGAGGGGAGGAGGGGAGGGAGGGGAGGGAGGGGAGGGAGGGAGGGAGGGGAGGGAGGGGAGGGAGGGGAGGGAGGGGAGGGGAGGGGGAGGAGGGAGGGAGGGAGGAGGAGGGAGAAGAGGGAGAAGAGGGTAAGAAGAATAGGGAGAAGAGGGATAATATTTATAATATTTATAATAAATGTTTATAAAAAAGTT